TATATATATATATATATAATATAAACTAAATTAAAATTTAATATAATAAAATACTAATTAATTTTATTTTTAATTAAATTTAATCTAATAAAATATAAATTAAATTTTAATTTTAATTTTTTATAATATAATAAATATACATAAACATAAATAATATAATATCTATCTATTTATAAACGAATATTAAAATACTTATTAAAAAATAAATATTTACATACACTAATTATTTATCATAATTTTTATCTGTATATATCAAATTAGTATTTTTGTCTTTGGGTTTTAGGTTAATAGAGTAAATTTTTTCATACATACACGTATGCATAACATGTAGATAGGCCGGCACGCACCCTATCATCCTTGCCTTCTCAATAAAAAAAAAATTAATAATTATCTAAAGCTATTTTTAATAATATGTAAATATAGCAAATCACCAGGTTAACTAGTCATGTTAAAATATTACTTAGAATTATCGTTACTGGTGAAATGAACTTCCTATATGAAACAATTACATTTCTACGGTGATATGAGAAAGATATTTAGTGTTTTTTAAACTTTGCCCTCCTACTCTTTAAAGCATCCAACATTGATATTTATAAAATTATATTTAATTTCTGATTAAAAGATAAATCCTAAATATATACGTCTAAAGGGTAATTTAAGAGAATTTTTAAAATATATGAAGAACCAGTGTGGAAATTTTAAAAATTGAGTCTGTAATGATAAGAAAAGTAATACGAATTGTTTTTCTTAAATAGATTTATTCTTAAAAGAATTACCTAAATAAGCAATCTCAAATTTTATTTTCATAAGTAAATCAGGTTATTGTAATGCGAACATAATTCTAACATGTAAATAGTGATTATTTATATTGAAAATTTTATATTAATCACCATCTACAAAAAACAATATTATTTCTAAATCAGAATTTGACTCTATTTAATGTATAAATTAAAATTAAAAGTGTTTATTAATGTAATTTTTCTAAACAATAGATATATTTAGAGAGAAAAAAAAGAAGTGTTGACTGTCTTATTTGCAAAAGATGAAATTAAGAGTTTGTCTTTATAAACACTTCCTTCGTCATAGCAGCATTGAACAGTGTAAAGAACTTTATCGACAAAAGGAAAAGTAGAATTAAGACTTGCATGTTTAATAATTCTTTACTAAGATCCTATATGGGTTAATAATTTATCTGCCGAAAGAACTAGAGTTTACATTCTAAATATATTTGTTTATATTTATTAGGAATTAAATGAGAAAATTAAATATTGTTGTAGAAGGAGAGAAGTATGAGAAAGAGAGAGGAAAAAAGAAGTTAATGTTAAGACAGTGGTTGGTTGTGAAGTACAGTGAGAGTTGAAGAAAAGGAAAAACAGAGAAAAAAAGGAATGATGGTATTAACCATAATGATATTTTGTAATATGTGACTTTTACATTTATTTATTTTCTGGTCTCTTATCTGTTACCCACTAATAGAAGGAAAGTGGGACCCACCACCAACACCTCTTTTGGACCTTCACAGTAACTATTGCTTTGTCGTGGCGTACTTTCCTCTGTTGCAACCAATGTTCGCCCTTGGATCCACGAAACTTGTTTGACTTTCCAACCTCTCTCTGTTTTATAACTTCTCCTCTTCCCACACCAAAACCGAAAACAAAAACAAAAACAAAAGCAAAAACCTATTTCCTTTGTTTCTTCTCACAATTCTTGTTCCTGTTTCATGGCAGTGGATATGGTGGATCCTGTTCCCAGAACCAGGATGGAGGAACAATTAGCAATACAAGAAGCTGCTTCCGCTGGTTTGAAAAGCATGGAGCATCTCATTCGCCTCCTTTCTCCCTCTCCCTGCAATTCTTCTTCTTTTTCTTCTAACAACAACAACCTCGACTGCTCCCAAATCACCGACTTCACCGTCTCCAAGTTCAAACAGGTCATTAACCTTCTCAACCGCACCGGCCACGCCCGCTTCCGCCGTGCACCGTCCCAACCCCAACCCCAGGCCCCACCGCAACCAAACCCACAACCACAACTTCAAGCCCAACCTCAAACCCAACAAGGTTTCACTTTGGATTTCGTTAAACCCACCATTCTCAACTCTAAGCCCTGCAACAAAGACGAAACTCTCACTCTCTCCACAACCACCACCACCTCCTCTTCCTTTTTATCCTCCGTCACCAACGACGCCAGCGTCTCCGACGGAAAGATCGGTCCTTTCCTCCCTCCCTCCGCCGCCAAACCTCCTCTCTCCTCATCCCACCGGAAAAAGTGCCGCGACGCCGCGCTCTCCGCCAAACCCTCCTGCCACTGCTCCAAGAAAAGGTTTTTCCCCTGCACCCTTCAAAAAAATTAATAATTTTAATCACAAACAAACAGAGAAACTGATGTTGATTCTTTTTTTATTCAGGAAATCACGCGTGAAACAATCCATCAGAGTCCCGGCGATAAGTTCCAAGATCGCCGACATCCCGCCGGACGAGTACTCGTGGAGGAAGTACGGGCAAAAACCGATCAAGGGTTCACCTTTTCCTCGGTATTATTCTATTCTTTCTTCCATCGCCTTGTTAAATGGGTTGAAGTCAAATGCAGATCTCAATATCTGTTAAAAAAACAATTTTTAATTTAGGGAAAAACATACATATAATAGTTCTTCAATCATAACTGAAACTTGGCTTCAATCATTTACGTAGTTTTCATGCTGTTCAATTAATTGGAATCTGGAATTGAAAATTCTTATAAAAAATTGCTGTGTTTTTGGCAGTGGGTACTACAAGTGCAGCACCGTCAAAGGGTGTCCGGCGAGGAAGCACGTGGAGCGCGCGCAAGATGACCCGAAGATGCTGATAGTGACGTACGAGGGCGAGCACCGTCACGCGCTTCCGTTGCCTGCCGCTACCGGCGGTGGTTTCGGGCTTTGAGCTTGTTAGCCAACGGCGTGGTGTCGGAAACTCGAGGGAAGTGCCCGTCCGGCCGTGACGGTAACGGCGGATGCGAGGAAGCGCGGAAAAGTTGGGTTGGAAGTCAACTTTTGCGGTGTGGACTTTGACGGAGTCGTCTAAATTTGACGAGGACTTTTGTGTAAATTTGACCCGAAATGAAATGAAAATATAGTGAATCGTTTTTTATTTATGCAAACGAGGCATTTATTTATTTATTTATTTGATTTGATATGGGAGTTGAATTATTTGGTGGGAAGAATATATACGATCTATGTATGAATAATGGTAATAATAATATTGGGAGATCTAAGTTGAAAGATTAGATTCCTTTTGTTGAAAAAAGTGATGGAAAAAAGTCAAGGGGAGGGTCCCAGTGAGAGGTGGATGTGGAGTTGGAATAATTATAAAGGAACAGGTCAATGGTTGTTATGGCGAGTGGGTCCCATTCACCGTTACTTTAAATCTCTTTGACTCATCTTCTCCTATCCCATTAACTTACGCAACCTAACCTTCCTTCACCGTTTCAAACCATAAAATAATCATCAATTCAATTATTCGTTTAATTTAAATAATAATATTTTATTTCATCCATTTTAGGAATACTAAGCATGAAATGTTATTAAACAAAATTATGTTTAGGGAAAATTCAAACATCCTTTTGTCATGAATCAATTCTTTTCTCAAAACTATCTTGTTTCTCTTAGATGTTATTTAAGTGAATGTTATGAAAAAAGAAAAAAAAAATCTTTGCCTTCAACTAACTTTGCCGATCAGGATTGGCTTTAAACGTGTTCATCCTTTTCTAGCTATCTCTATATTTCTTTAATATTGTCCTTCTACGAGCATTTTAGGTACGATGTCAATGTTATCCCTTTGTTCTTTGATTCATATTCTCCTATCATATAGACCTTATGTTTTAGGTTTTCACATTTACGTATAATATTTTGGCCTTGCTTGATTAGGCATATGTTTTGTTTTGAGATATAGCAGTACTTTCCATACTCACATGTGAATTTGTTTGTACAGTTGCCAGCTTTGTGGATTGTTGTACCGAGGTAGTTGGAATTTTTTTACCTTGTTTCTTTGAATAACAAGAGTTTAATTTTGTGAGTGTAAAATAATTTTGTGGGTCAAAATATCATTTTATTTTCTCAGTTCGCATTTTATTTTATATTTTTTATTGAAAGATATATTTTTATTTTTGTTTTTATCAGTCAATAGATATATTAAAAAACATAATCTAATAAAATTTATTAAATCTTTTCATTGTGAAATTATCCAAATCTATGTCTATATAGGCAAATCTACATCTATTTGGATAATATCCATGTATCATAAATAATTTCTATAATTCGATAATAACATATTATTTATGATCAAGTATCATTATGTTATTATTAACTACAATGTTATTATATGTTTGAGATATGTATTATTTCAATGAGAACAAAGGCTCATAATTTATGTTGATCATATAAATATAACTAGTACCATTCACATAACCCTCACTTTATAATTACTTAATTTCACTATATTTATAAAGATCTCAAACTTTTTTACTAACTTAAATATCAGAGAGTCTTTTTGTAGGTGAGTGTCCTCTTGTAAGTAACAAGGAACTTCATTTTGACCAGTAAAAGCTTTAAAGCCACCACTAGGATCTTGCTACATGTCCGTAAAACCATGTTCAAAATCTCAGTAAGATCATTTGGCTCCCATCGTGGGACCTCAATAAAACTTTTCCCCGATCTCACATTCCCATGGTCACCACTTAAAGTCAAGCACAACTTTTCCATGAGATGGAGTTCAACCCAATGGCGACCGTGCAACATCAGTGCAGATGCTAATCTAACAGAATAACCAACAACACAAATAATGAGATGTCGAGGTCAAAACCCTTCACGACCAACAACAGGAAGACCTCCATGAACTCTAGGAACTTCGATAGAAGTTGGCCGACCTAAAGAATGAAAAACCATCTCCTCGATCTCAGCCACACTCTTGGGAAGAAAACCCCCGCAACTCCCAGATGCAGCACAACCTGCTAGCTCAATGAGATTCCAGTAGAAGCCAAGACCGGTGTCCTCGACACCAGAGCAGGTCAACTCGACACAAAACAAAGAGACTTGTGGATGTTCTTGCCCCTTCAACCGAGATCGATCTCCTTAACATTAGACTCGAAGAGAACGAAGCAGGTCAGCTTGACAAAAAATAAGATAAAGTTGTAGACTTTGTTGCCACTCCAACTGAGATTGATCTTCTTAACGTTGGACTCAGAGAGAACGAAACAGGTCAACCTGACACAAAACAAGAGAACGTTATAGATGATCTTGCCACTCCCAACGAAAGTTTGGTCAACACAAATATCACAGACCATATCAAGACATAAATTTAGTGGGTCCTAGGATTCCATAAAACACCCCAGAAAAACGAATAAACTAGCAAAAATCGAGTGAGTGGTAGACAATCTACTTGACATAAATCTCGAAGAGCTCAAAGCAAATCAATCTAGCACATGACTGAAGAGACTCGTCGACAATATTTTAAACAACAATATTTAACGGAGATTCAACTAAAAACACTCAAATTTATTTGAGAGTTAAACTTAACTGAATCTTTAATATATGCAATGAGTATTATCTTTACATAATTAAATTTTATAGTAACTAAACACTTTTTATTTAAACTACGCTGCAATTAACGTTTGTAATAATGAATATGTTTATATTAAATTATATTTTATAGTTATGATAATATTTTATATTATGATACAATTTCAATTTTAGTGATAGATGAGTTTTTCTAAAAAGCATTGAAAACACTTTTGTTGAATATGATTTTTCTTATAAATGGTTACTGTACGGAACGAGCTAGGCCCATCGAACCAGTGCCTTGATTCCATCAAGCCCGTCATAACTGGATTTAAAATCCCGGCGATTTTTTGTTTTATACTTATAAGATATCAATTACTGAAAGACTTTTGATTAAGTTAACATTATTTATAGCACATACAGATCAACATGATTATCCCTTTGTCGTTATGCTTTCTTAATTATTGTCTTATGGATATGCTTAAATTGTGCTATAATATATTTTTTAGTTTTTATTAAAACTTAATTTTAATATTTTAAATTAATTTTCCCTTGTTTGAAATTTTAATATTTATTTTTTCAATTGTTTCCTCTTTAAGAAAACAAAATAAAGTCAAAAATATGTTTCAAAATTGGGTTTCAAATAGTCAAATTTCCAAAGAATTTCTAATATTGGACATAAGAAAGTAAATCGAGTATTCGACTCTTGTTCATTTGGAAAAATAATGTCGAATGGATTATTTGAAGATTTTTTTATAAGATATTATTCAAGAAAAAAAAATTGAAGATATTAATTTTGTAATACAATTTGGAATAAAATTTTTACAATGAAAAATAAAAGATAAGTGTAAAATTTTACAACATTGTTGTTATTATTATTCATCATAAATTTTTTCTATAATAATATTTAATTTTTCAAAAAAAATAAATAATAAATCATTTAATTTCAAATTAAATTACAAAAAATAATAAATTATATTTTATGTTATTCCTTCTCTTAAACGTTATTAGAATTTAATCTCAATATTTTTAATTATGAAAAAGTTTCAAACTGAGAAATGATTATCTTGCTAGAATCCTATATATGTGAGGCCTACCATATAAGAATTCTATATATTCGCTTTCATACATTGGATACTTATTTTTTCCCAAAGAAGATGAACATGATCCTTTTTTAGGCTTCACCACAACTCTTCTATGTGGAATTTATAACTACAAAAAATAATCAATTAAATATTATTGAAATTTTGTGATGTTTATTACGATGGTTTTATTGGTTTTTCTTTTAAATATTTTGTTTTTATTACTATTTTTTAAGTGTTTAGGAAAATAATTAAAAGTGTTATAAAATGAGAGAAACTAATGTAAGCCTGCAGTTTCTAGATTTTCCCAGAAATTGACTGATCCTTTGGGAACCGCCTTCGGTTTCTCCCGTTGTTGACTTCAACTGTGACTTCTAAAATAAAATAAAAAAGTTATTGTTTTATGATAACCTTTTTTTTCACCTTTACGTTAAATAAAAGTTTTGATAATCTGTTATACCCTTGTTAGGTTACATTTTAAAATAACAATAATACTAATATAATTAATACATATTTTTATAATATAAACACGAGTCGACTAAAAACCTACACTACGGCAAATGCTATAAATTTAATGTTGATTTATTATAAAAATGTTGAGTCAAAACTGACTCAAAAATTTATAAAATTTAATTATTTATAATAACAAAATATTGATTAAGCTGATGGTAAATGAACGAACAATAAATGAATTAAATATAAAGTCACCGTATTCATTTCATACACATACATCTCTATTTACACCCATCTCTTTGATCTATTATAATTATTTATTTATTTTTCTCATTTATATTATTTAAACATAAATATATTGTACGATTTCTTTTAAGTTAATGTTATTAACGTCGGCCAAGTTGATGATATTATTTAAAATTAAAATGTCTTCTTAACATCAGTTATGATGTCAAATTGCTTTAACTAAAAAATTAATTTAAAAATTAGTAATAATTAAGTGGCGGCTTAGTTAACATTAGTTAAAGTCAACCTTCAAAAATTGATGCAAATGAATTAGCATCCATAATTTTAGCTTTACATATACATGTCATGTCATGCATGATAAATGTTAATAACTATTTAATGTGAGTTTTTGTTGTTAGTATAACATCTTTTGATCGACTTCATATATGTTTTTTTCTCGTACTGCTTTCACTTATAGATCTTGAAAAAAAAAAGTTAATTATAATGTTCGCCAATGCTTTTTAAAGTTAATCAAAAAAGTAAAAATCTTAGCATTAGTCTATCCAACACTCTCTAAGGTTAATAAAAAGAAATTGTAATCCCGACATTCATCGCACCTACATTTGCATATGCAATTCTATTTACACTTGTGCTAAATTAAAATCAACAAAATTTTAAATTAAAAATCCAATTGAACTTGAATATAACACGATCGATTCAAATCAAATTTAATTTTGAGTGAAAGGGTATAATTTCAAATAGAAATTTAATTTTTACAAATGAAATTTAATTCCAAATCCAATTTCATTTTGTAATTTGAAATCCAATGTGTATAACACCTCTTAATTGGATTCCAAATGAAA